ATAATTTTTGGATAACCGGTTGAAATAAAAAAAATTGGTAGTTATATTTAATTCTCAAAATCTCAAAATATTGAACAAACTTCAACTTTGGGGCGTATAAATCTCTACTTTTAGACGATTATATGAAATTTTACATATATTAAAATTATATTTAGTTACATGTAAATGGTGTTATTTATTTAAATATATATATATAAAATTATAGGAATGCATACGAGACGGGAACATATAATTCGAAAACAAATATTGTCTGAATTATTTCTCATAAAAAAAATGATTAGATATAATTGTTATGAGACACGATCATAAAGTTAAATTCACTTTCAACTTTCAAATATAAAACTACGAGTACGATACGGGGACATGTAATTTAAATTGCTAAATTTAATTTCCACTTTCCTATTTATTTCAAATATTTAGACATGAAATGACGGATTATAAACTACAATAAATACATGTATTAAAAAAATATAGAAATACCTAAATCTTTAGAAAACAAAAAGGCTAAAACATGAATCTTTGAATTGAAGAAAGTAATGAGAAATAAAGATGAAACTGAAAGATCAAATAAATTAAAAATCGAACAAGGATTTTGTATGCTAGGATTATAGACAGTGCCTTGTGAATGAAAATTGTGGGAGCATGTGACTTAGATTGATAATTAGATTTTTATTAGTTTAATAAAAATAAATATTTAAACGAAGAATACGGGTATCCCGTCTAAATCTTTTACCAAGTTTCTTATAATAAACATTGGCAAATGATTATGTTTTAAAAAGAAACGATTATGGGACAGAAATTTTATGATAGATAGAAGACGGGACGGGACGGGGCGTGGTGGGACGGGACGAGTCAAGACGAGACGGAAAGGGATAGGACGGGTTTTCCATTCTAAAATATACATAAAACAATTCAAACTAAAGCCAAACTCAAATCCGATTTAACATCTCTAAGCAAATAGTTAGAAATGTTTTGATTAGTTTAAAAAATAAACATGTAATATCATTTATCATTTTCATTTAAATTATTTTGAAATTGTATTATGTAATATAATATCTATATTTTACAATTGTATGTCTATATATAGTTTATCAAATAAACTCATATAACAAAATTTTACCAAAATAACATCTACTTAAAAAATCGTAATTTTGTAAAATTAACCCCGCACGTACGTGCGGGTCCATCACTAGTATCTTCTTGAAGCAATTGTGTAATGTCCTTCTTTTAGATAGCAAATATTTTTTTATATATAGTTTTCCTATTTTTGAATTATTATAAAACATACTAAATAATTGTTCTCAATAACAAAAAAGAACAGAACATTAAAAATTTAAAATAATCGAGTATGTTGCCATAGTGTGTAGTCAATATGAATAGATGGAATTGAGTTGTATATATATTATTAATTATGAAGGATATTACAACTGATTATGTTTACATATACAGATTTGAAGAGGAGGTTGTGCTAAATAACAAATGCGTGGAGAATATACGTTTCAGTTGGACGAAGCTGAATAAGGAATTCGTATTGGTGAAAACAAATATATATATGGATCAAATTATTATGTTTTTGGTAAAAAACAAACATTCATGGAACATAAATTTGGAAACTGTATTTATCAAAAATAACATTTTGGAAAATGTGTGGTCAAATAAAACCCTAGTGTAATTTAACATGTTACGGAACTATAATTACAGCATTAATACAGAGAAGTATAAGTTTGATTGATCTAACATAAACTTCAATATTACCAACACAAACGAAAAAAAAAAATAAAAAAAATCTTGAAAGAATCATGGGTTCTCTAAAATCATGCTTAGCTTTGTTAGTAATGATTGTGTTCGTAAGTGCGACTACGTCTCGAGCCCAGAAAAGGACGACAGTGGCGATTCACAATGATCTTGGAGACGGTTTGTGGCTACGGTACCATTGCAAATCAGGGGATGATGACCTTGGATTCCGGAGTTTACCACCGGGTGGATCGTGGTCGTTTGGATTCAAACCTGATATTTTTGGCAGGACTTTGTTTTTCTGTAGATTTAGTTGGGGGAAAAGTGAAAGCCATTATTTTGATATCTACAAACAGAGTAGAGACAAAGAATTCAAAGAGTTTGGGTGCAGAAGATGCGAATGGAAAATACGCAAGGAAGGACCTTGCAAGGTTATTAACAAGACGCCCGGCATCGTATTTGATCTTTGCTTTCCTTGGAACGCAAATCCAAATTTTTTGGAGCAAAACAACAATACATTGTAACGTACTAACGTTATTTATTCAGAACATTGTAATGTTTGACTACAAGGAGCTTTTTCATTCATACTTACATTTACATACCTTGTTGTTGGTTATCATATATTAAAAGACTAATAAGTTTTTCAGTTCTAAAAGAAGTGTTATATCAAGTTATTAATCGAATGAATCTCCCATACATGTACTATTTAGTACTATTGCCACAGAAAAAAAGAGAAAAAAGATGTAAATTAATTAAACAACATTTTAATCGATCTCTGGATTGAACTGATCGGCACTCATTGTACTACAAACCTTTTCTTCGACATGGGTTGTGCTATCTACTACGTTAATATATATCTTAATTAAATTAGTACGATTCAAGGCAAAACATTTATTTAGAAATATAATTCTCAGGTATATTCAATTTTTAATGTCGATAAAATATACAATGTGATGATATGATACGATTACGAACTCGGGTCTTTGTTAATGTATTCCACCAAGTGACGTGTCCCATTAAATCATAGGCTAGAGTCACACTCCATAAACATACATTAGACTAGAATTCCATGAGGACGAAACTGAGTGAGTCAAACTCGTAGTGCAGAATCTAGCGGTAGATAGTTAAACACATGTTGAGACTTGGGTGAATGGAAGAGAACTATAGTCCCCGCGCGTGGGAAGGCTTTTTATAGGGTAGTGGAAGTGAACATATCTTCAACACATTTTACTTTGAAAAATTAGACTGGTGAAGATTTTACTAATTACAATGTTGTACAGAAATATGAGAAACTCATCATCTTCTTAAAATTGTATAACATATACTTAAAGTTTATAATTGTATAGTTTATTATATTTTTGTTTGTTTTGGTTGGGATGGATGGAGTAACAGTTGTAATAGTATAGGCTAAGGAAATGGTCGGACAGCTAAGGAGAGATCGCTCTCCTCATCAGACAAAAAATTACAAGCGAGAATTTCTTTGTTCCTCCACGACCGGACAAGACACGTCCATCGTCGTCATCAACTAACGTACGCCTACCACCTTATCGTACGCCTGGCATCTTATCCTGCGCATCTTCCCTTCCATTAAGACCTAGGGTTTTCTCTTTTCTCTCTCTCTCTCTCTCCTTCCCATCATCATTCTCTTCCCCCGATCTATATCCAACCTCGTTTCCATCCCCAATCCCGCTCCTTTTACTCTGATTTTGAATCGAACCCTTATCTTATACCCCCCTTGAATCTTACGGTTCTGAGGAGTGGGTTTTGGGGTCAGGGGTTTTCGAGAGATGTTGAATGTCAGGTTCATTGATGAATCTGTTTTCTCTCTGCTTCAAGCCATTCGGGCACATCTGCGATAATTCCGAGGCTGGATCGGGTGGTGGTGGCGTTTCTGGTGGAAGCGGCGGCGGTGCTGAAGGCAAAGACGGGTTGCTTTGGTTCCGTGATCTCGGTAAATATTGCGGCGGAGAATTCTCCATGGCTGTGATTCAGGCCAATCAGGTTCTTGAAGATCAGAGCCAGATCGAATCCGGTAATTTCGGGACCTTCGTTGGTGTTTACGATGGTCATGGTGGTCCTGAAGCTGCACGTTACGTCTGCGATCATCTCTTTAACCATTTCCGAGGTTCGTGATTGTTTCCAAAGTCTTTTGCTTGCTTTCGGTTCTTCAACTCTGTGATTCGTCATTTTCACATTAGAGCTTGAGTTATCTGAATTGGGTTTTGCGGAATTACATATTTTAGATGAATCCGTTGACTTAGTTCTAAAAGTTTTGTTCAAGTCCTGGTGATGAAGATGTTGATTGGTCAACAAAGTTAGGTACTTTGACTTTTTTTAATCTCTTTTAGGCTCCCATTGAGCTAAATGCAAGTTTGTAGCTACAGTCTTTTGCCCAGTTTAGTCTTTTACTTTTAAAACTTCATGCTGTGTGTTGCAGAAACAGCAAAAAAAAAATTAAGATATGAGTAGGCTCCTATGTATAATGCGGTTTGATACTTAGGACTCGTTGCATTTAACATCTTAGTTCTTTGATATTGTTCTATCTATGCTTTGCCAACAGCATCTAGTTAAGGGTCCCTGGCTTTTGCATTGATAGTGAAGTGTCCTGAGTCCTTACCTGGCCTAAGTCATCTAGGAGTGCACTGTACATTTTATGAAAGGAGGTTGAGCCTCTCTTATGTTGGAAATTCTCAGGCTTTATGATTATGCAGAAATATCAGCGGAAACGCAAGGAGTTGTGACAAGAGAGACAATCCAAAGAGCCTTTCATGCGACAGAAGAAGGATTCGCTTCAATTGTGTCAGAGCTCTGGCAAGAAATACCAAATTTGGCAACTGTTGGCACTTGTTGTCTAGTTGGAGTGATATATCAAAATACTCTTTTTGTGGCAAGCCTTGGAGATTCACGGGTTGTTCTCGGAAAGAAAGGCAACTGTGGCGGACTCTCTGCTATCCAGCTGTCGACCGAACACAATGCCAATAACGAGGATATTCGTTGGGAACTTAAGGATTTACATCCTGATGACTCGCAGATCGTTGTGTTCAGGCATGGAGTTTGGAGAGTTAAGGGCATCATTCAGGTAGTTTCTTATTCTCTTTCAGTTAGTTTCCCCAAAAAAAAACGCAACCTTAGACATAATTAGGTCACAGAAGAGCAGGATTCAATGTGTTGCACTGGATTTTGTTCCTTCTTTCTCAGACACTTTGCCATGGCTCAAGTTGTTGGGATATTATCTCTCCATTTAGTTGTACATTTGGTTATAGCTGGTTTCTGGCTCCTCATGCTCTTTTGGGAAGAGAAAGATTGATTTCTTTTCTTTCTTAGTATTTGAGTGGTTTGTCCCAAATTATATATGCTATAGAAAATTTCCATCATGGTCTAAGAAGTTCAAATCCTTACAACAATTTGAAAATCAGCAAGTAAGGAAGTAATTTATGAGCAGGGTTAATGATGAACTTCCCTACATATTCACTGAACAAGCAAAACATAGGTCTTACGCTCTTTGTGATGTCTAGTTACTAGTAATTAATCCAGCTTTATCATGCAGCTCTTGGGATTTACTGATCATTCCCTGTCTTAGTGATCAATTTTGATTGAATGTTTATATAGGTTTCGAGGTCTATAGGAGACATGTACATGAAGCGGCCAGAATTTAACAAGGAGCCAATCAGTCAAAAGTTCAGACTTGCGGAGCCAATGAAGAGACCATTAATGTCTGCAACACCGACCATACTCTCTCATCCTCTGCACCCTAATGATTCGTTTCTCATTTTTGCATCTGATGGTCTTTGGGAACATTTGACAAACGAAAAAGCAGTTGAGATTGTTCATAACCATCCCCGTGCTGTAAGTTTCTAGTTTAATTTCTCTCTTTAGATAATTTGCCGTGATTAGTAGTTCGCCGATAGTGTTATATTGCTCCCCACATTAAGGATCCGATTTTAAGGGTTCTTCCAAATGGCTTTTCTGGGTCTGGATAAGTGTTAGATTACAGTGTTAGTGAGTTAAGTCATAAGAAACATGAGTATTACAAGGTCTTAGATTTATGATTGATTTGTTGCATTGTGTTTTCTCTCCCTCTCCCTCTCTACAGGGAAGTGCAAAGAGACTGATAAAGGCGGCTCTTCACGAGGCAGCGAGGAAACGTGAAATGAGATATACAGATCTAAGGAAAATTGACAAGAAAGTGAGGCGACATTTTCATGATGATATCACGGTCATAGTGGTGTTCTTAAACCATGACGTCATATCGAGAGGCCACATCAACTCAACACAAGACTCATCAGTCTCTATACGGAGTGCTCTTGAACACTGAAAAGCAACAAAAAGACATTTTACAACAATGTTTCTTCTTACTTGGTTATATGACTTTTGCCTAGAACGCAATAAAAAAACTGGGCAACATCTAAAAACAAAGACAAAAAAAAATGGAAAACAACATCGTAATGAGTTCTCTTGTATTAAGCGGCAATGTTTGTGACTCTGGTGTTTCTCTTCAAGTCTTGCATAGCTTATGTCCTGATGAATACCAAGTCTTTTTACGACTAGCCGTTCATCAAAAGACTACGTGCAGTTGTTTTACAGTTTGTGCCTTTTATCATGACTGTAAGTCTTGTACTCTGTAACATTGACGAAACATAAGTAACCATACCATTCTCGATTGTAACATCAAGCTTTTAATCCAAAGTGTTATTTTACTGACTCTCACTTGTCTTTACTAAATCCCACGGGAATTTCTCATCCATCACTGCGTATTTTCGATTTTTCATCTGCGACTTTATTTACCATTCGAACCATTGCTTACTCGTCATATTTTACATTTTAGGATCGAATGTTTTAGTTGAGATGTTCATATTATGAACTCCAGACCTAGAGAGCATATCAGATTTTCGTTATTTAACTTATGCTCAGCTTGCTTCGGGGTCGTAATACAAACAAGAGATAAACTCAATCATACTATTAATCATTTAAAAGAATATTGTCAAGAAAATCATATTCGGAAGTAAATTTCAAAACAAAAAAGGATCGAAAGTAATAAGGAAAATCAGAAAAAGCTTTCTAGGCAGCATTATCCATCAAAAAGAAGTCAAATGTCAATCAACTTCTCAGAGCCCAGTGCATGATCATCATCTTTTCTCAAAATAAAAGACAAAATACAGAAAAATATATCAGGATCCTCAGCGTAAAAATGCTTAAAGCGTTTCATCAGTAATAAAATCAGGTCTCAAAGATTACATGCCATCATAGGATCCTTCAAATAACAACAAAAAAAAACGAAGATTGCTGATTAAGATAATATAGCACGAGCTTATTCGCTATGCCCGGTTTAAAACATAGGCGAAGCGACTCAACGCCCCTGCAAAAATCTATCGCCTCTCTTTTTTAAGATAAAATCAATCCCATAAATATTGAAAAACTCTACAGGAAATTCAATCCGAGAAGCGAATCCAATTATTTTGAAAAATAAAACCATTTTAAAGATCAGAAACATAGAAAAACACACACAGCAAAACTCAATGAAACTATAGTGATAGAGAGAACAAGTGTTTAATTTTAGGTTTTTGCCGGAAGTGTTCGTATTTATACATACGAATTTTAGGTCTTTATTAGGGTTTAAGTTCTCGGCCGCAAATATCAAACACAATGGGCCTTTGTAGTATAATAATGGGCTTTTATTTCACCATAAGCCTGACTTGGAGAAAAATCCACAATAGTCTACTTGTATATGTCGAGTTGGCAAAATAATCTTTGGTCCATGTATAAAATTTGTGACCTTATTTTTTTTTTCATTTAAAAATATATATAAGATGGATTTTGAAACTCTTGCTACTTCCTGATTAAAATGAAAAATTAACCTATACAAAAAAACTAAAAATGGAGAATTATTTCCCTTACAAGAAAGTAGTACAAATAAATTATAATCTAGTTTATAAAATAATACATTACACTTTTGTCATAGCTAACAACTCAACTTTTAATTTTGAAAAAGAATCAGTGAATCAAAATTAAAAATAGAAAAGTATATACAATGTTAATAACAAGTGTATATTTAAAAATAGAATGATCATTTACTTCTTTATATCGTTTACAATCCACTCAGTCACTACCGAATTTGAATCTAATCAATAACAAGAGTGGTGAACACTATTTTAGCACCGCAACACAAAAACAAATGATTTGGCTAAGAAGATTATTTTAACCTTTTTTGTCAAAATTAGAGTATTGTGTTATTATTATAAAAAAATGAAAGTAAGGATTATAACAATAATATAATCAACAAGATAGTGCACATCATATGGGAGAGAAGCAAAGCAAAGGAACCACCACAGTAAATTTTTGATTTTTTTTGTTTTTCTTCTTCTTCATGTGTATAAAAATGCGATACTTTGCTTCATTCTCTTTCTTATATATTTAAATTAAAAAAAAAAAAAAAGGAATCGTCTTCCTTCCCACTTTGGGGTTCCACAACAAATCTGACACCTCATCTCTCTCTCTCTCTCCCACCTTCTCCTCCGTCCCGTTCCGTTCTCCAACCTCTCTCCCTTCCCCAAAAAAGGTAATTATTAATCCCTTAATCTCCTCTCTTAATCATCTCTCTGATCTCTTTCCCGTTTGCTTCGTCTCTGTTGTTGTTTTTCGAATTCTTCTTCTTTATAGATCCTCTGATTCGGATCCAACAGTTTTCTAAATTCTGATTCTGTTCTGATCAGATAACTCGCTCAGAGACTTTTTTCCATCGGCGGTTATGGAGTCTATCTCTCCCGTATCGAATCAGCTTATTCAACCAACGACGACGACGACGATGAGCTCTAGTTCCGATCGCTCTCGTCGTAAGCGGAGGAAGAAATCTCCACCGTCGTCTGCTGATTCATCTCCGTCGACATCGGTGGAGAAATGGAGATCGGAGAAGCACCAACAGATCTACTCGACGAAGCTAGTTCGTGCTCTTAGAGAGCTACGAATCAGTCAACAACCGTCGTCGTCGTCGTCGATTCCACGTGGCGGTAGAGCCGTGCGCGAAGTCGCTGATAGAGCTTTAGCCGTGGCGGCGAGAGGTAAAACACTGTGGAGTCGAGCGATACTATCGAAAGCAGTGAAACTCAAATTCAGGAAACATAAACGGCAGAGAATCTCAAACCCTACCACGACGACGACGAAGACGTTGACCACCGGGAGTATGAGGTCGAAGAAACAGAGAGCGACGGTTTTGAGGCTAAAGGCTAAAGGATTGCCAGCTGTACAGAGGAAAGTGAAAGTTCTGAGCCGTTTAGTTCCAGGTTGCCGTAAACAAACATTACCTGTGGTTTTAGAAGAAACTACTGATTATATTGCTGCCATGGAGATGCAGATTCGTGCTATGACTGCGATTCTCGCCGCCGTCAACTCTGTTTCTCCTCCGCCGCCGCCGCCAGGTCATGAAGGGGGACAAACACATATGCTTGGTTAGTTGGCCAAACTGTCTTCTCTTTTTTTTTCCATTTAAGAAAAAAAAAAAAAAAAAACTGTTTTTCGTATTATTATTCTTCTTCTCACTGTATTTGGTTTGCTGTTTGAGTAATTTTACTATTCAACCCACTCTTTTTATTTTTACCAATTACCATTGTCATCGTCATGAACATATTCATGTATAGCCTTTTGTTTCTTGAAACTCTCTAAATAGTGCCGGAGGAAGACAGTGATTGATTACTGTAATCGTAATAAATTTCAGTTTCTTGATAATCGTGGAAGCACATTTTCAGATTGTGATTAGTATAGTAACCCTGGCTTTGGTTTTACAATACTTGTTGGTTAAGAGAACTATACATAATGACAAAATCTATTTCAAGTGTTTGGTGAAATTTAATGAATATGGCAAATGGCAACAACAATGGAGAGCATAATTAGAGCTTTTGTTTTGTTATGTTTGTAAGTTAGGTTTGGTGATTGGGATTTGGTATTAATTCTCTTTTGTTAAACACATCTGTTATGAGTTATGACAACACAACAACACTTGTGTAAGCTTGTTTCTTTCTTTCTTTCTTTCTTCTTTTGTATATGGTATTTGGATTTACTTTGGTATGTGGTTAGATTTTGGAGATGCAGAAAAGGTAAAGAAAAAATCTAAAAGAGTTAACACAATCACATGGTTGAGAAAGACATAAAGACATGAACATGATGACTCACATGCCCCATTCTGAGCAGATGGGTATATATCTTTTCTTCTGTTAAAAGCCTTAAAAGGTGAACACTGAATACAGTGTGGTATATAAATCGATCAGTCTAATTATTTTTGGCCAACTTATTTATTTGATTCTCTCCTGATAGTATAAATTTTTACTCGGAAACCCAAAAACAAAAGAAGTTGAATAAGAAAAGGCACTGAAATCTACCTCTTTGTTTTTGGACGGCCAAAAGGCACTTGTTTTGGTGAAACTGTTGTAGTAGTATTTTTGGAGGAATATTAGTAAATACCAAAAAGAAAAATAAGAAGCAAAATTCATGAAAAAATAATGTTTTTTTCTGACACATGTCATGTGGGTTTTTACATTATCTCAAACTCTTTTTTTTTTTTTTCCTCAAATACTTTTGTACAAAAATGAAACCCTTAATAAACCCCACCAACACTTATATTTTTGGTTGCACATCACATGTGCATTCAATTGGCTAGACAATGAAAATCTTTGATTAGATATACTTCAGAAGAGGATGTAGTGGAGGATCCGGGTTAACTGTTTTTACCAGTTTATTTTTGACTATAATTTCATTTGTGTGTTGATCAAAGTAAATATGTGTCGACCAAACCAAACAGAAAGAAAATGAAAAAAAGAGGAGAGCACATGGATCAAATGATTTTGGCGTAATCGTGTGTAGACTCTCTTTTGTGTGTGTGTGTGTGTAATGTCACTATGACCTTTAAGCTGCTTTTTTTTGGTTAACCTCTTCTTTAATGGTTGATTGTCAATAAAGACTATTTATTGGTCTTATTCCAATCACTTTATTTATTTATTTTGTCAACTATTTAAGCACTTTGTTGTCGGTTTCGATCACACTATACATATTTTCTGTCTTTTGAAACAACGAAATTATACTATTTCTTTTAGGTTTAAATTTTTCTTTAAAATAGATGATTTTTTCTCACAAATTTATACAAAATTAAATATTGTCTTATCAATTTATATCCTGCAAATTGTTTGTTTTTTGGTTGAGTTGTATTTAAACAGGATATTAAATAATATTTTTTTAGAAATAAGCAAAACTTAAATGATTTATTAATATGTGTATATTTGCTCAAAATATTATATATTCTAGAATCTAGAACGGAGGAAGTATAAATAAAGAAAATGCCAGAAATTTATGGTTTTTTTGTGAATGAGTTTTTTAAAAAATTACCAAAAGAAGGGTTTCTAAATTTTGATGGACTTGTTTAAAAAAACTAAAGTAATTTGTTAAAACTTCAAGGAATTGATAGAGTAATTTAGATTATAAAGCATAAATAGTGGATAGATGTAGGCTTCTACTGTTAACCATTATAGGAACAAAAGGAAAAAGAACAAAAAAAACAATACGGAACGGAATAAACCATTTTTGAGGAATGAAAGGAAAACATGCAGAGAAGAACAAAATAATAAATGGTAACCAAACAATAACACTATCTTTTATAATATATTTGATTAAATAAATCAACTTTTAATAATAATACTAGATATAATTTATATATAATGAATTTGACTAATTTTAAAATATATTTTTGAATGAATTTAAATATTTAATGTTAAAAATTAATCATTTATATTAACCTATTATAGATTATAGTAATTTTTTATTTGTTATTTATGATATAAACATCTCTTAAATATATTTTACTATCCATACAAATTTTAAATAATGTGTAGTAAGATTTTTTAACATGAAATTCATATCAAAAATATTTTTTAATGTCAATACATGATAAAAATATGAAAAATATTATATCATGAGATTAAAATATTATTAATAAATAAATTTTTTATTTATTTTAAAATAAAAAACGAATTTTAATATTTGTTTTCTTTTGTTCCATTTGTTCCTCATCAATTTTGGGGAGGAACATTTTTGTTCTATTGTTCCTCATTTTGTGAGGAATGTAGAGGAATGATGTGGAAAAATGATTCCTTGTAAATGGTAAAAAAATTGAGGAATGAAGAGAAATGTCACATTGCTTCTCATTTTTTTCCTAAATCATGGTTACCAATCGAGGCCGTAGTGATGCATCAATTGTTTACTTATCCGCACAATCTTGTGGTTCTATGATCATTTCTACGTATAGTCAAAATAGAGTAAAAAGTAAAAGCGACCTAATAGAGAAAAAGACAAATTATAAGAAAATCATATAATGAAGTGGAAATAATAAAACAGATAGATATACAAAAACTTCTTCATGAGGTTTCAATTAATTACATCCTTAAACGAGTCTACTAGCTAAACAATTAGTTCAATATTTGTAGATTCGAATAACAAAAGTCAATTACTACTGTCTATTGAGCTAAAAGCTTAAAACTCTACTGATCAATAGATAGATAGATATTAGAGTTTTCTTAACCATGTGAAATATTCGCGAGAACCTATGCATAAATTTGGGAAAAGAAGTTCTTAAATGTTTTCTTTTATTTTCTAACTGCTAAAACAAATCAAAAATACAACAATCTGACTTCTATTTTTCTCCTTCAAAATCTTCAATAATGCTTTAGTATGTGTACGTAGCAAACTGTTTAAATTTGTTTATGTCAATTATCTAGTGGTTTCACTCTCTAATCCCTAATGGTTGAAGCAACATGGCCGGCCAGTATCAACTTAATTAAGGCAGAGGAAAACCAAAGAAACAAATCATTTTTCTCCTCGGATCAAACTTTTTAAGTTACGTTTGATGCGAAATAAACTTTCAAGTTATAAGTTTCAACCAAAATGGTGAATTTTTCAAGCTCCTTTTTGTTCAATACCTTCAAAATTAAACCAACGTAGAAATATACAGGGATGTCAGGGAACACTTAGCTACATATATATAAGAAAATACAATTTTGGGTTATATATAATCAAAGATTGTTTTAGTTCCGCCATGATGCAACAGTCTGTCGTGTGCCGCTGTCCGAACCATACACAAGCCACTGACCATTCTTATACGCACGTGGGACGCATACCTTGCTGGACCACACGTGTGCTCTGAGATATCTACTTCATATATGAAAAGAAAAAACCATTATTCATATATAATCGGGGGCAAAGGATACGTCCAATATGAATATGTTTAACGCATTTTTTGTATCATGCGATTAAATGCATTATGCATATGCTTTCCTATGAATGTGTTTTTCTTTCAACATACGTATGTCACTGTTTGCTTGTAAAAATATTGGATGAAAATATGATTTGTGAATTTTTATAAATATGGTTTTCACAAACCTAACGTACACGACAAGAACAAAACGTTAAATTCACAACAACAAATATTTAAACAGAAAATGTAGAAATGAGCAATGTATGGTACGTCGCTTGGTTGCTGTATGAAAAACAAGAGATGGGCATTTCTCTGCTGTCTCATCTCTCAATCCACGACAAAGTTTGTTGGGTTGTCAAGTAATATACAAATCTTTCAATTTGTTATTGTTTTCTTTACTCTTTTTTTTTATATGTCAATATCTATATATATTATTTTTTTACATTTTAAGTAGTTGCCAAAATGCTATTCAAGTTAGACGTTATTTGTAAAAGAGTTGGGGTTTTTATGTAATTAAACATATAGTCTACAACTATATATATATTAATCTTTAATTTTTGTAGACTATTTGATACATTTTACAAGTTAACAACCATATTTTTCCAATTTGTTTCCAATAGCTATACTATTTCTCCCACCAGTTACAAGTTAGCTTGCATCTTACCTCTATAGTTTTTTTTTCGTACGTGAATGAAGCATCGTTAGATAATGACAAAAGTTCATCTTCTTGCTAATCATAGACGGTCAATTATGAACTACGCAATGCTGAAAATAGATGAGTACAATATATGATAGAATTAGGATTCTCTAAAGTCGTAACCAATCAGACTCTAAAGAAAGTCTAAAGATGAGGGTTTATGGTAAATTAAGCAATCAGACGAAATTTGGAAGTGGGGTACACTTACAATAATGCATTTACATCTAAATCAGTATATGTTGTAGTATTAGTAGTAGAAGTACTTGTTTTGTTATATAGGATTACAGGTACGTTAGAGTAGAGACGCAGAACTAGTGACTAATACATATACATGAAATTAATGCTAGCTAGGTGATACTTCAATTTTGCGATTGAACTATCTATGAAATGCCTATAAAAAGCATATTATAGCACGAGCTTCACTCGCTAGTCGCGACGATACAAGTTAGTGGTTTGTTCTTTCCTTGCTTCGTCCTCTCTAGAACCCAAAAAAGGCACTTGTTGAAAATCAATTATTGAGTGGGGAATTAGATCCTAAAAGCATTAATTAAGTTCGTAGTAATCATAATCTAACCTTGATTTAGTTATATAAACTGGCTTTTCTAGAAACATGCGTCACAGCACCAGCATGGTGTTCTTCACTTTTTTTTACTAGTTTATCATTTTTTCCAAGTTTTTCGCCAAAAGGGTGATTAAAAAACATACAAACCAATCATGCATCTCTATATATGTCCTCTAGTTTAGGTTACGATTTTTTTTTTTTTCAAAGCTCATATACTAAACGCGTTTATAAATGCAAATGTTTACCCTAATTAGTAATTAGTTTATATTACTAGATTTTCTAAATATCAAAGAAAGGGAATTAAAAATCAGTTATGTCATAATTTAGAAAAAGAGTTTTAGTAAAGAAGAAGAGAGAGACTTCGTTAATTGGTGTCTACTACAACACATAGAAAAGAGAAAGAAACATTTGTCCACTCCACTGCTCCTTTAAAACGCACGTGGGTAGGACCCTAACTTGTCTAGTCTTCCAAAAAAGCCGTAAAACACGAAAATACTAACTATTTTGATATAATTATAACTATATGATAGTTTAATGAATTCTTTATTAATAATATTAGTACTATTACTACTACTTAACTAGAACAATGACGACAAGAACATAAAAATCCCAATAAAACCGCGTAAAAATCCAAACAAAAGGTACACAATAATAGTTTTTACAACATAATAATATATCGTTTCACATTTGGGATCGGTACCGTATGGTGGACCGTCAATCGAATTCGACCGTGCACCAGATTAGAGTGAGTCGATCGACTCTGCTGTTTCAGTTTTGTCCTAAACTTTTGCTTTAGTTTTTATTTTCTACTATACTCATCATATACCATTTTGTAAAATGTTAACGTTTATAATAATCCTAAAAATAACAAATAAACGATAATATAAGCCAATCATTTTTACAAGTATACAACTCTTTGAATATACATGGTTATGCATGCATTTAACTGTTCGTTTATTGCTTTTCCACTGATCAGAAAAGGAAATATTTATCCGAAAGTATGTGTTTTAAAAGTGTTAATAACAACGACCTTTTTCCGTTGGGCTTAGAGCAAAAACACGATTTGAAGTTTTAAGGAATTATTTGTTAGCAAAAAGAACAAATGTTTTAGTTAGGCCTGGTGTGCTATTTGGGTTTTTAAAGCAGTAACCAGAGCAGACCCAATAAGAATGCACTACAGTCTCCAAGTATGGTCCTCCCGCACGCGTATCTGTAAAGAAGGCGACTTCAACAAAGTGGGAGGTTCCGAGGTCCCATTGTCACACAACTCTCAAAATCAAAACTCTCTTTAACTATCTTTCCTTGACTAAGCCATTATCGAATATTTTATTACGTGTGTGAATTGTGATCCTTTATTTTCCCAAATTTGCTAATACGTGACATCTACTTATGGAAATGTTGGTCGATGGATCGTGCTACTCGAAATGTTTTATACGTGTCTGTTAAGCATATATAATTATTATATATTAAGCATTAGAGGAGGATATGAGCCGTAAGGAAGACGACACATGTTCGAACACTAAATATATATATATACATATAATTAAAATATAATCTGGTATGGTATTGGAGAAGTGGCGATTGCTGTATCTTCACCTACAAGAGCACTGAGAAGTTTCAGGCCCACTTCATTCACCCATTGTTCACACATATTGGTCAAAAAGGAAGCTACTAGAACTTACGTGCCTCTTACGTTGCCACTCTTCTCGATTCCTTATAAATACCTAAGCAGACCAACATTCTCTACATAGACCATCGATTGATTCTACAACACACACGGCTTCTCTAACTAGCTCTCTATATCTAAAAACCTTTCACAAAGAAACGATTTTTTAGTGGCTATATAAGATACATAGCTTGGTTCCTATATAACTGAGTAGTTGTGAATATGGGAAGCCTCAAGTTCTTAAGCGCTGCCTTCTTGGTTTTAATAGTTTTTGACGTCTGTTTAGCTGCTCGATCACCAAAAGCTCTTGGTAGAGGGTCCGGTTCCGGTTCCGGATATGGTTCAGGCTCCGGGGGAGGCAAAGGTAGCGGAGGAGGTGGAGGTGGCGGCGGCGGAGGAGGAGGAGGAGGAGGAGGGGGAGGGGGAGGAGAAGGATCAGGTTCGGGGAGTGGTTACGGTTCGGGGTATGGATCGGGTAGCGGCTATGGAGGAGGAAACGGTAGTGGAGGAGGCGGAGGCGGCGGTAGAGGGGGCGGGGGTGGGGGTGGGAGTGGAGGAGGTAACGGAGGTTCAGGATATGGATCAGGCTATGGAAGCGGCTCTGGATATGGAAGTGGTGGTGGTGGTGGTAGAGGAGGCGGAGGTGGAGGTGGCGGTGGAGGAGGAGGAGGAGGAGGTGGCGGTGGGAGCCGTGGAAATGGATCAGGATATGGAAGCGGATCTGGTGAAGGGTATGGAAGCGGATACGGTGGGGGAGATAACTATAGTGACTCACCGTAAATCATTCTTATGTATTGCATGCTTATTTTTACATAATTTAGGAACATACAGAATAAGGTGATCGATGTTTTGTCGTCACACACACACACATATATATCTTGTATACTGTGTAAATCACTCTTCTTTTTGCTATTGAAAGAGAGACGATGTGGTTTCACTTAATTTCCCTATTAGAAAATCGCATGCATTGGCATATGGAACTACGATGCACCATTTACTTTTGTTATATTATCATTTTGTAGTCATATGTGTGTACCTTGTTTATCCCACTTATTTGGTTATTTCCATTTTTTACAATAAAATGGAGACGTCTAATAAAATAAAATAATATAAAAATAGTATAGGCATATCTGATAGCTCAAGTGATAGATAAATAGCATGCACGACGAATTGATGAAGAATGGTTAAAAGGAATAAAGAAGCATATATAGTTATTAAGTTATACAACTCTGCCACATGAAATTTAGTGATTGTCCTTGCGGTATCATGTGATTGTGTCACAATCCAAGTACACAGCGTCATAAGCTGGATGATATAGTATTTGTTTTTAAAACTAACTTAAAAGTCGAAAACGGGCTCATCGGCCCAATAGATTAATATTCACTGACCACGTACTGGCCCTAGACCTTTAAGGATTCGCCGATTCAACAAGCTGTGTGGCAGACAGATCCTGACTGGTCTGGTCTTCGTCACCAAAAGGATCACCCCCACGTGTCTCTTTACATAGTTTTCCCACCCCTTGTATAGAATTTTAAGGAAACTTATCAAGATTTCAAGATTTATTTGGGCACAGAAGTCAAAATATACTTTAATCTAACATATTCTTTTCTTAAAAAAAAGTTCATGATGGGTTAAGAAAAGAGAGGAAAATGTCTAGTGTGAAATTGTTGACGGCAGAAGAGATAAAGGTTCACATATTTATAACATCTATATGAAAAAGATAATAAACGTGTTAATGATAGACTGTAAGTGTAACAAGTCAGATTCATGGGGCCAAAGGTATTATGTAAAGGAAATGGACCGATTGAAATAAATGTTGTCTGTTAGTGGGATGTGTAGAGCTCCCTACCAATCAGACACCTCCATGCCTTATGATTTCTCTACGATTATTTGATTTCATTTGGGAAAAACTTATAAACTGTTACTATATGAATCTCCCTATACAGAGTTTATGGAATAGAATTGCGTGTATCAGACATCCCCTGATAAAACATGCACTAATTGTGAAGTAATGATATGATTATTTAGTAAATAATTAGAACTTATTTAAAAGGTGTGACAACAAAAACAATGGGTTGTCGATGAATTTGACCGGAAAAAAGGAAAAGAAGTTGACCAACTAAATTAGGTGGGGGTGGTTCTTTACAAATCCGATATCTTACTGGGGTTAAATCGAAAAGTTTAAATAGTTAAGGGAGTTAATAGAAATATATAAAAGTGCGGGGAAGGCAGTTGAGGGAACCGCTCCTGTTCGGTTGAAGTCGTCATTTTCACATATTTGTGAAACTGGGCCAGATAGATTTATAGTGATCAAAATGGGACCAATTTATTTCTTCAAATTATGACAATACATGTCGCCTTTGTATTTGTCTTTGTCTACCTCCGATTCTGTTCTCGTCTTGATTTTTCAACATAAGTTCCAAAGTTTTAGTTTTTTTTGTTTGTAGTATTCATGAAAAAAACCAAAAGAGAAATCTTACAAACAACAATATTTGTAGAATGAGCAAGTGATATAATAATACTTTAATATACGGGGTGCAAACGTATAAGAAAATAAAATAATGGGATCAAATTTGGAAAAAAGGAATATTTTTGGGACTGCCCTGCGTCGGTGACGCTGAAGCTTCGCGGCTGGAGCAAAAAAATAAAAAAGCTCACATGCATATTATTTATCTCATCTCAGCTATTTTTAGAACAACAACACATGTCCGAAACACATTACAGTTCCTATATCTGTTTCGAATTCAAATCTCCTGTCTCTTTTTTCTTTAATATACTATTACACTTATTTAATTTATTTCATTTTCAAATTCCAGAGTATATATATATCGGAATAATCCATTGTATCTTATATATTTGTTCGATCTCTCCTGAAAAAAAGAAAAGAGTTGGAAACTTCGACGAATGTGTGTGTGTATACTATAAATCTAAAAAGTCCTTTTTTTTTTTCATTGTCTTGATTTAGTTTTTTGCTGTCTTTTGGAAACGGTCTGAAGTCGGACAAGTGAATCCGCCATTTTCTCCTCGGTCTCTCTGCTTCATCTCTTCAGTATCGGATCTGGGTCTCCTTCGCTTTCGTTTCAAGGTAACAATTACAACAACAACAACAACAACAAAGAAAGTTCAAATATGTTTCCTATTTTATTCACACACCCATTTCATTCCATCCAGAGTTTCTAATCTGACTCTCTTTCGAAACCTTGATTCATCATTTTTTTGAATACTCCTCATCACTCAGCCAGTGATTTCATTTTCTGGGTTTCGAATTTGATTCGATAAGAATAATTAATTTCAATTTTATTTTTAATATGTTTTCCCCCCTAAGTCACGGCATTGGAAAAAAGCAAAAACACAGCTGTTCCTTGCTTCATGCCCGAGATTAAGCAAAAAAAATAAATATTTCTTCTTCTTTTTTTTGTTTTCTCTTTTCGAATCAATGCTCTCCTACTAGTATAAAAATTACCTACTTTTAACAGTATCTGAATTTACTCATCAACCAAACTTCAAACTCTCCTCCTTTAAATTCCTCTAACTCCAAATCTCTCTCTTTCTTTTTTATTCCCAACCACGTGATTTTGATTCGGTAATTATCCATATTCTTGCACTATGTTTAACCCCATTAAAGTTATTGTCTTTAATCCTTTTTTATCGATTGATTATTAAAAATTAAACTTTGTGATTTATTATTTGGTGTTTTTTTTGCAGATTATTATTTTCTGCTGGGCGAGGAGGCGTTAGCTGTAATTCATTGTTTACTTGCTTTGGCTATTAAAAGCCGTCACATAAAGTAAAAGCAACACTCACACACATTCATATATAGACACCACATTTTTTACGTATATTGTGTGTGTGTGTGTGTTCTTTCGTCTCTATCGGGTTTAGATCTTGATCTGAGATTACAGATTCAAGAACGTTCTTTAGGGTGATGAGGAGTAGTTTGTGAGATTGTCTCTTCAACTTCGAGTCTGAGTCTGATCTGAAGTGAGAAACTTTGTTTTGTTTCGGTTTTTGGAATCTTGTCTGTCTTAATCTGGTGAGATAACAATGGGAATGAGTCTCGATTTCGATGTTGATCTCGAGAAAGGAGTGGTAGATTGTGAAAATGTTTATACAAAGTCACCGGAGAAGCCCATGTCTCCGGATAGCAAACCGGTTAAAACCGGAGAAGAATTAGAGAATGATGCAAGCCCGGTTCAATGTGGGATCAATAAACCGGGATGGGGGAGGAGTGATCGGAAGGAGAAACGGAAGAAATCCGCGTCGAAGCCTCCGCGGCCACCACGCGGACCGTCGCTGGACGCGGCGGATCAGAAACTTATCAGGGAGATCGCTGAATTGGCGATGCTGAAACGCGCGAGGATCGAACGTATGAGAGCGTTGAAGAAATCGAGAGCGTCCAAAGCTGCGTCTGCGGCTTCTTCTCTCGGCAATGTTTTGGCCACTCTTTTCACCGCTATTTTCTTCTTCGTACTCGTTTTCCAAGGTACCCGTTTTGATTTCGCTTTTGCGTTTGCGTTTCACGATTGTCGGATTTTGGTTTAGCTTATCTAAAAAATTTTATTAATTGACAATTTCAGGATTGTCACCGAGAGCAGCCGGGAAACCACACTCAGTCGTTGCCGGAAATGTCAATGGCGGGTTTGTTTCGGCTCAGTATGCTGGAAATCCGTCGGCGAGCGAACCGGATGGAGGTTATACCGGACCGGTATTAGCACAGAGATTTTCTCGTAGTTTACTTAAACCGATATCCGGTTTGGAGAATGGAAAGAAGAGTTCACAGTAAACCGCAAGAAAGGAGTATAGAATTGGAAAAATCAAATCCATACTGGTTTGATCAAACCATTTATCGGTTTAGGTTGTCGGTGAACCATGTACTCCTATTATCATACCGATAAATTTTTTGGAGAGAAGAAAAAGAAAAGATGGGCTGCTTTCTCAGTGGCTGTAAAATGATAATTATCCGATGTGGGTAAAGATTAGTTTTGTGTCGTTTTCTTGAATAATAAACTGAGAGAGAGAACTAAGTTTTACACATAATAATAAAATCAGTGTTATGTTATTCAGCTATCTCTTATTATTATACAATTAATTCAAAAACTGAGATAATTTTGGTAGATTGTTGCAAAATAGTATCCAGATTTTGACTAAATCAAAACATTATTTTATATCGTTTTTGTTTTTAATAATTTAGATCACATGTAAACGATGGTTGCAGTTGAAATTTTGAAATCAATTAGTATAAAAAAAATAACAATGTACAGTATAAATATTTGGGAACAGGATCCATGTGGCTGTATCTAAGACAGTCCACTGAGGTAATAGTAGAGACCACTATTAATGGCTGTGCCTAAATTAACTGAACATGTGATTTCACGTGTGTGTGTGTGTGTATGTGTATTTCTAATGTCTATTATCTCTGTTTCGTTGCTGTCTGCGGATGCTTCGTGGACCCTTTTCATTAAGGCCCATTACCTCTTTAATCCGTTTAGTCTCACTCGAAGTGAAACTTTATAACACCTAAACATAGAAATTTTGTTATCATATTCTATGTTTAAATTTGATAAATGTACATACATGTGCTGGTGTAAACATCCAACCACAATCATCAATATATGCATGCTCTTTGATTTAAACTTGGCTGCTTTCAACTTTTCCCAAATATATCATTTTTCCTAGTTGAAAACTTATTAAGTTTTTTGATTCGAGAGTTTTAGTTAATAATGTAATAATATCTCTACCGAATTTTATAATAGAATTTTGTTCGTGTCGGTAATTACAAATATATGTATATATGATAATGATGATAGTTAATGAACAGAGATTCTCAAAGACCATTCAGCAGAGACTTAATCACAGACATCGCCACGTCACAAAGATTCTTTACCAGCTTGTTTCTAGCGGTAAGGGCCACCGAGCTCTCGTCGTCCGCGCCGGCGTTTGTGATCCCTTTCTGGCAGGAATCAGTCTGCTTCTCCGCGTCTCCGAGGACGTATATCGCCAGTCCGAACTTGCCGCGCCGCATTGCTTCCATCGCCTGAGGAATATTAAACTTGACCACCGGCCGGTACAGCTCGGCGCACTGAGCCAGCGCTCGCTCTGCCGCAGGATCGTGAGAATGTCTGATCAGAGATTGGATGTATCCTAGTGTATCGGTCATGTTACCGAGCACGACGCTAGCCATAGCTGCCGCTAAAGATTTGGGATCGGAAGGTGAGGGGGAGAGTGGACGGAGAGAGGCTTCACAGAGGTCGCAGAACGGCGTTGCTTGGCATATTTTGTCGATAAGATCATCGTCGGAGTATACTGACGGCAGAAGCAGGAGGAGAAAGAGAGAGAGACACGGTAATGATGTGATGGTGGAGGATGATCTCTTCATGATTGGCCGGAGATAGTGAAACTTCTGAGAAGTACTTGTTATGCAATAAATTAAAGACTTGTGTTGTTGTGAGTATGCTACTGCTAGCTCTGTTTCTAGACTTATATAGTAGTTGTTGCTATTTGAAGTTGTTACATGTTAGTAAATTTTAAAAGTTCATACAAATTAACATACATTATGTTTTTTTTTTTGTTCTATAAAACAAGGTGCTTTTTACGTGTCGTCACACAAGAATTTTGTTATATATCGATGTTAACTAGGTTAATGATTATTAGGTATACGTGATTATTTTAATTCCACCCGTGAACGAAGCTTCGTGATCAACAAACTTTGCTTTAGTTTGATAGATATGTCTTTAGCATATAAGTTGTTGTGCGTATTTTAGAGTATAAACTTCAATTTGGACTATTAATGTAGGTATATTTGATTGAATCATACTACCTAATTTTTCATAATACATGGATCTGAGTCTGAGTATGAGTCTGGTCTTTTACACTTTATCCTTTTGGTTATATGTGGTTGTTGGAACAATAACAAGAGGAAGACGACGGGTATGTGTGGTTTAAATTTGATGTATGAGTACTTTAGTAGTCGGTCACATATACGACAAATTAAAAATACCATTATATAATGAGTACGCACTATACCCAACGTCGACCAAACAATTTTAAAACATACCTTTGAGATAAATTTATATTGTGGGGGCTCTCTTCTCTCGTCAGTCGATATCTGGCTCGTGAATGTTTTTGTATATCCCGTGATTCCGTTCTAGAAACTTCGTGCCAGAAACTTTTTGCACCCATAAGCTAGTACCGGTTTAGCATTAGCAACGGTGCATCGTTTCATTAGAATTTTGAACCAAGCATATGATTTAAGAACTTTATTATTAATTTAGAATGATGTTTTAAACTAGAAATGTATAGATATTAGAGCAACATTCGGACGATGGCTCTGGTCACGTCGCAGATCTTGTCCATTCTTTGAGTCAATTCGGTTAAAGGAGATTGGCCTTTGGGAAACCCTCCTTCGCAGACGGAGGCTTCAACACCGGAGTCCACAACGGCGTCTTCAGCGAACTTGGGGTTTCCTTTGATAGCTATGATGGCTGTGTGTACGTTAACGTCTACGATCGTTTTGTATCTTAGATTACATTCGTCCAATGCCCGTTTAAGCATTGTTTTGGTTTTGTACGCCTCGTTGATACGCCCGAGCGTTTCCGTCCCTAGCGCCTTACGTACATTCCCACAAAAAAAAAAAAAAAAAAAACATTTTTACATTTTAATACCTTTTTTGGTGGACAAAATCGCCTTTTGACTTTAAAGTTACAAAACCAACCCCGTGACTAGTACACTATAATGTCTTTATTCGAATTGAGATTATGATGATAAGAGAGAGATACCTTGATTTTGTCGACGAGGATAAGAGCGAGACCGACGGTGTCGGCGGAGGAGCTACGTGGATCGGAGCGGAGGAGAGAGAGACAGAGAGTGTAGTCAGGTGTTTGTTTGCATGTCATATCTACGATACTACTACCCATCGCAACCCCCACCACCATAGCCATTATCATCATCTTTATCATTTTCATCTTCTCTATATTTTAGTACTACCAAGATTATTAAGATGACTAATATGCATTCCTAGGTGAGGCGTGTGTATTTATATGTCTATGTATGTATATGTGTGACTTTAAACTTATGCTATAAAACGTTTTCTTTTTCTTTTTGTTCTTGCTTTGATACATGTAAACCTATTAATTTAACATTAAACCAAAAAGAAAAAAATGTAAACCTATTAAATGCACATAATTATCTACATGGACCAAAGTTATTAGGGCATCTGAGGGGTTTTTAAGCAAATCCTAACTTAAGATTTATTAAGAAATATAAGAGCTTCTCTTAATAAATCTTAAGCTAAATTTTGCTTAACAATTCTTCAATAATGTGATGGTCTTAACCTCTAAACGCAGAGATAATATGAGTTACTCTGATTTGAATAAGCATTGGTAATTTGAAGTTACGATGGAAGACAATAATTTTATGGAAATCTACGGTGATAAAATAAAGAAAATTTTAAGAAAATATTTCTCTGTATGGAATCAAAAAATGTATACAGAGAGAATGGCAGCGAGTGGCAGCCAAACTTAAAACTCAGAGAGATTTACCAGCGAGTGGCAGCGACGATGACTGATCTTAAGGCTGCCAAGTTTTCTCTTGCAAAGTATGATATGAAAAACGTTATGTCGGCATCGGATAATTGTCAGGCGCAGTTTATCGGGAGTTTGCCGTTGACCGGTCGTAACAAGGCCGTCCATTATATCGCCGAAATGACTGCTGACATCATCAGGTATCTTTCTCGTCTTGTTCTATTTGCCATTGTTGCACGATATTCGATATATATTCGATATAATTTTTTGATCAGCTGGTTTGTCTAAAGGTAACGATATATATATATATATTTTTTTGGTAAACAGGTAACGATATATATTTGTACTAAGCATTAAGTGGTTGGTCTTACGACATACATTATACTATTACAATACGACTATACATATAATGTATGTCGTAAGACCAACCATTAATTTGCATCTAGTCATATGTATATATAGTCTTACATATTCTATTACAATAAGAAATCATATATGTATATGTTTTTGTTTATGTATATGCACATATATATATATTATATGCAAATCAGAAAATGTTAATAGTCTATTCGTCAACGAAAAGGTTAATGGCATGTGAGTATGTAGTGACACATGATCACAATAATAAATAAATAAAATCTGAAAATATTACAAAAGTTTTTAATTGGTAATCAAAGATCTTCTAAAAAACTTTTTTTTATAAACCACAAAATGTTTATTTTTACAAATTATATGTTATTTGCTTAGCCAAGATTATCTAGTTCTACTTTTATTTTTTGTTTCATATTGAAAAGAATCTTTGATTTATATGGCGTGAATTCTACTCTCTCTTTTTTTTTTTGGTTAAAGTGATACAATATTTTGTTAAAATGACAAAAATGTAGATTTATATATGTTTTAATGTTGGTGGTAAACTAAGATAGGTTTGTTTCAAATTATTTCTTGGATAACTATATATGTAATGGTGAATCTATTTTCTTTTTCCTAGTCAAACATTCAATTTAGTAAGAAAGAATGTAAAAATTGGTAAAAGAACAAATCAGTGGTCCTTTCTTCAACAAATTGTTTAATGCCTTGATAATCTTAATTGACCAGAAGAGACATTATTGGATATGTTTCCAAATGCACTCTGAAGACTAGAAACTTCATTTTTTCGGCTCTAACACACTATAAAGAGATCTTTTAACCCCATTTATAAAGCCATTCTTAAAGTTAGAGAAACGATTCACCAACAAATTTTATTTTTGTAGCAAATAAAAAAAACATTCACATCGCCAAATAACAAAATGAATCATTTCACAAAGTTATTTGCAATTTTTCTGGTGTTTATCCAAATCCAAATAGCCTTGTCTCAATCACTTGAACAGAAGGTATGCCAACAAAACCGTTATAAGGCACTATGCTTCTCCACTCTAAATAATAATCCTAGAAGCAAAACCTCAAATCTCCATGGTAATTTTACCACACATAAATAATTTTTTGGCTTTTTCTATTTCTTCAAAAAACTGTTTATCAACATGTATTACATTATATATTGCAACGTTATATAGCTAAAACTTATATATATTTTTAAAACCATGGAAGGGCTTGCGTCGATCGCCTTCGACGCGACGATAAAGACATTCAACGATATGGAACAATTTCTTATCATTGTTTTAAATCTCGTCAGTCGCAGTGAAGACTCTAAGAAATACAGATCTTGCGTCGAGGATTACGGTGCAGCGATTAATAATATTTTACCAGCAGTAGTAGCCGATTTAAAAGCCAAGAAATATCCTGAAGCTATGTCTCAAATGAAAGAGGTTCTGGTGAAGCAGGGTGATTGTGACAAGCAGTTCGCTGGACCCGATACCTCCGCGAAGAAGACGGAGTTGATGAGCTTTACCAAAGTAGTTCATGATACAGCTGATATGACCATTGATATTATCAAAATGTTGTCTACTAATTAAACTTTTAAAAATTCACCGGAAAAATAAATAAGATATTTTAGTTCTAAATTTTTTTTTCCATCAAAAAGTCTTGATTTATAGATACCATGATACACTTGACACGTATTCGGTGTCTAAATCAGAAACCTCCTTAATTATTTTCTAAATTACCATAATTTTATGAAACTATATATAAAAGATGATACTCTTTGCCAAGCACGTACATTGTTTTAAAATAAGTTGACAAAAATATGTACAATAGAAACTAGAAAGACATAGGGAGATTAGGCCTCACATCTAGCCCATTAGGTATATCACAAACCGGTAAGTTTAAGGCCCAAAAATATCTTAACGCTTTTACACTCGCACATGTAGCTACCACGTGTGACTACAGTGGTTAATAGCATGTGACACATGATCACAATAATAAAACAGAAAAATATAAGTTTTTAATTGGTAATAAAAGATAATCTAAGAGCATGATTAGGGGAGGATTCTATGGGGTACCTATCCGTAAAGTGGGCCAGGAAAGATTAAAAATAAATTAGAAAGCCCTAAGGGCATCCTCAGTCCTGAGCACTTTTAATGGGTACTAACCAATTTTTTAGTATTTAATTTTGACAATTATTAAATTAAGCAACTTGAGAAAGAGTAGGAGGGAGAAGAAGGAGAAGAGAGAGAAGAGTTCTGTGAGAAAAATAAAATCAGAATTGTTTTTTTTTTTTAATCATCTACCAACCACAATTTGACACGATACGTTGCTCAAGTGTTGCTTATGTTGCCCAAAGAAGCAACGATACTTTGTCTAATGGGCTTTTTTACAATATTTTTCATTAAACTTTTGATCCACCCAAGAAATAAACAACCCATAAATTATATCAGTGGACATGATCTAATAAAAAGTGAATCGTTGCTTGTGCAGGCATCGGAAGAAGCCCATAAGTACCGCGACGTGGCGCAGTATAACTGGAAGATGAAAAAATAGAAAATGAGAATTTTTTTTTTTTTTTTCCATTTTTCTTTCTCCCCGACTCCGTCGTCTCGTCCTCTCCCCCTGCTCTTTTTTGCAGCCCCTATTAATATTTCTTATATATTTCCCAGATTGAAAAGAATAAGCCTTGATTTTCATTGATGTAATATATGTAAGTTAAATTAGTTAAATTTTTGTTTTGTTAATTTGTATTATTTACAAATATAATTAAATTTTATATAAATTTTATATATATATTATATTAATGATTAAGTACCCCTTTATAAAGGTTCTCTATTGGAGGAGTAATTTTATTTAAAGTTGTTAATGAGTTGCTTTGATTAATTTAATAGGTTATTATATTATTAATTTATTTTTAAGTATCTCATATAGAGTACTCTACTAATGATGGTCTAATAAACTTTTTATTAACCATAAAATATTTATTTTTCTAAATTATCTGTGATTTTCTTAGCCAAGATTATCTAATTTCTCTTCAGTTTTTTTTTTTAATCAAGAAGAGTCTTTGATTTATATGGCGTGAACTCTATCCTTTTTTTAGTGTGGTTAAAGTGATACAATATTTTGTTAAAATGAAAAAATATGTAGATTTAAATATGTTTCAATTTTAGTGAATTAAATAGATCTGTTTCAAATTATTTGTGGGATAACTTAACATGCAATAGTGAATCCTAGTCAAACATTCAATTTAGTAAGAAAGAATGTAAAAGTTGGTGTAAGAACAAATAGTCAACAAAAAGTTTAATGCCTTGATAATCTTAATTGACCAGAAGAGATTTTTCTGGATATGTTTCCAAATGCACTCTGAAAATTAGAAACTTCTCTTTTTCCGCTCAATACACTATAGAGAGATTTTTTAAACTTTTTATAAAGCCAGCCTCAAAACTAGAAACGATTCACCAACAGCTTTTCTTTGTAGCATATCAACAAAACACTCACATCGCCAAATAACAAAATGAATCATTTCACGAAATTATTTGCAATTTTTCTCGTGTTTATCCAAATCCAAATAGCCTTGTCTCAATCGTTGGAACAGAAGGTCTGCCAAAAAAACCGTTATCAAGCACTATGTTACTCCACTCTAAATCTTAATCCTAGAAGCAAAACCTCAAATGTCCAAGGTAATATTACCACACATATATCATTTTTTTTGCTTTTTCATTTCTTCTAAAAACTGTTTATCAATATGTATTACATATTTACATTATATATTGCAATGTTATGTAGCTAATTTTTTTTTTTTTTGAACCATGAAAGGGTTTGCGTGGATCGCCGTAGATGCGACCACAAAGAAAGTAAACGAGATGCAACAGTACCTTGTCTCTATCCTAAAGAATATTAGTGACCGTGGAGACTTTGAGAGGTATGGAACTTGCGTCGAGGAATTTGGTGCGGCCATTGATAGGTTTTTACCTGCAGTGGTGGCCGGTCTAAAGGCCGGGAAATATTCGGAGGCTTTATCTCAAATGAGAGAGGTTGTGGCAAAGCCGGGTTATTGTCAGCAACAGTTCGCCGGAATTGCCGGAATTTCAGAGTTGACTAACCGTAACAAAGCCGTTCATGATATCGCCGATATGACTACTGATATTATGAAAATGTTGTGATCTATTCTCGTTAAACTTTTTAAAATTCACTAGAACAATAAATAAGATACTTTAGTTCCGATTCTTTTATCTATCAGAGTCTTGATTTATAGATACATACCATGATACATTTGATTCGGTGGTCTAAATCAAGAAACCTCTTCATATTTTCCTTACGTACCATAATTTAATTAAACTATACATATCAAAAATGATACTCTTTGCCAAATACTGTACGTACATTGTTGTTTTTAAATTGTACAATAGAAAGACATTGGCAGATTAGACCTCACATTTAGCCCATTAGGTATATGTATATCACAAACAGGTAAGTTTAAGGCCCAAAAATATCTGAACGCTTTTAGTTTTACACTCGCACATGTAGCTACCACGTGTGACTGCCTCCTCGCCGTCCTCGGGGGAAATAATATCCAAAATTTTCAGTTATTACCTTATACGGCATATGAACCGTTCGATGTGATGCCATCTCATCGATCCTAGTCTAGCATAGATTGAACGGCCACGATTGAGTTTTTCAGTGTTCTACTGCTAAAGGCTGATTCGAAGCTTCTGCTTTCTGCTCTCTCACAGTCTCTCTTCTGTAACGGAAAAAAAAAAATCAGAAAAATCTTTGCTTGTTTGAGGGAAGATGTCGCCTGTTGAAGATGCTAAGGAATTGAAGGAGCAACCTGTGATTGAGGTTCTGAGCGACGACGACGACAGTGAAGTGGAGGCAACCAAAGATGGAGGAGAACAAGTAACTGCAGACGATGATGAGGAATTCGACGGTGAAGAGAATGAAGATGAAGATGACGACGATGATGATGATGACGACGACGACGACGATGAAGAAGAAGAGGTATGAATCGCTTGGTTTATATTTCTGCAAGAAGAGTGTAGATCTGAGTTTTTTCTGCGTATCTTTAGCTCTAATTTCAACTCTTCTTCGTATGTGTCTCACTCAACTCTTAGAAGCTATGGATTGTTCTGTGTTAGATTAGGGTTTATCCTTTTCCCCGAATCAGATTTTAGGGTTTAGTCTTTGTTTTAGTCACTGAGTCAATGGATAGTATTAGAAAACAAAAATGAAGTTTTGATCTCATCTCTTTCAAAGTCAAAGCTCATATCTTTGGTCCGTTCAGCTTCTTCTTTTGCAAAATCATAGAACATGTGTGGTTTACTGGTATTACATTCAAACCGTGCAGGAGGAGGATCTTGGGACTGAGTTCTTAGTGAGGCCTGTTGTTGAGGTTGAAGATGAGGATGACGCAAGTGATTTTGAGCCTGAGAAGCATGGCGTGGAAGAAGACGCTGATGAAGAGATCGAAGAAGACGATGTCGATGAGGACATCAGCTTGAGTGCTGGCAAATCCGAGCCTCTGCCCAAGAGGAAGAGGGTTGCTAAGGACCACACTGAGCAAGGAGATGTCATCGCTGATGACATTAGGCCCTCTAAACGTTAGTTCTAACTTCCCAACTGACTTCAATCCAAGAAACATGTTGGACCTGGATTCAATTTCACTGTGTTTGAACTTTGAATCTTCTGTTGGGTTGATGTAGTTTTTAATTTAGTGGTAGTCTTGCTTACAGTTTAATGGATTGTTGTTTCTTTATGTTCCCTGAGACAGCTTCAAACCAAGTTTAAGTATTCAACGCAAGAATTTCGTTTCTCATATTTTCTTGATTTTATAATTCTTATGATGCTGCTGTTATATTATGAGTAAAACAAACAACTTCAATTTTATATGTGACCCTATTATCCAAAACATGACTCAGAAACAAAAAGAATTACAGACAGCTCTATACTCCTACTTTAACTGTTCTCCGGGTTTCTCTTCTGCCGTTATTTGACTTGTCCTGTCCTTCTTCTGGTTCGCTAGCACCATCTTCCTCTCCTTCTTCTTCTTCTTCATCTTCATACAACACCATAACGACATTACCATCATCATCTACTTCATACTCTATATTATCACCATCTTCTTCATCATCACCTTCACCCTCATCTTCCTCGTCAAACTCTTCCTCTTCATCATCATCATAAAATTCATCACCTGCCCGAGCAGAGTGAAACTCGGGAGGTGGAGGGCAGTCTTCAGTGATGGCCTCATCACGTTTCATCACGAGATGCCTGATCACCCTCTCATCACTATCTAACAATCCCTTGAATTCGTTTAAGTATTTCGCCTCTATCTCAAAGTTCATCAATATATAATGAGCATTCTCTGCCTTCTGTATTTTGTATGCGAGTCTACGCATTCCCCAATCACTAAACCTCCAAACTTTCCCCTTCTTCTCCTTCAGGAAATCTGATTATCAACGAACTTAATTACAACCGTAATAACTAAAAAAACTCATGCATGAAATCTAGTGAGTACAACAACAGAGCATAAGAAGGGAAAAAGCTTCACCTTGTACTTTTTGGTTGATGCTTTCGACCTCCTCAGCATGTTTTTCATGAATCAAGTAAACCACCTCATAGTGCCTCACTGCACACACACATAGCTTATACATCATTAGCAGAGTCATATCAAATCAGTAACATAATCCAATCTTTCTTTAGGTGACTTTGAACTAAGCAATCAAGCTTTGATCATATTCCATGGTAAGCTCCTGACCATCTAGAGTAAACATTATGCAGAATTGCATGTTCGTCTCCTAAGTTAAAACTGCCACATCATATATCCTACATTATCATCGTTGCTTCATCAGCAACATCAAATTGACAAAGGTCTATAATTTCAAATCAAAATTTAGCCAGGAGGCGGAAAAGGGGAAACGCTAGCTTAGCTAATGAGGATAGATCAAGGCATAATTAACAGGTGAACATAGAACCAGCGTCTAGACAACACGTAACCACATTTCACCATTTGAAACAGTAAGTGTAAAATCAAAACGGTATAGAGGAGATGGAACTTACTCCTTTCCTCATTCAAGTCGCTCTGAAGCTGAAAATCCAGAAACTCATATAGCTCCTCTGTGTAAATGAGAAAGAAACAATCAATCTCAACGACCAAAATCATATTGAAAACAAAAACCAATACAAGCATCTAATAATCACTCACTTTCTTCAGCGTCAGCAAACTCGGGAAGTAAGTCACCTTCCTCATCGATCTTCTTCTGTGAATCCAATCCAAAACAAATAAATGCCACAACTTCAGCATCAAATGATGAACCAAGAAACAAATTTACTAACTTTATCCTCATAGGCATCTAAATTCCATCAATTTTCAGATTTTTCTTAATCCAGATTTCCACAAAATGGATAAAATAAAATTCGACAAAATCGAAGTCAGCTACCTCTTTGAGAAGAATGGATTCAGGAAAAGGACCAGTGGCTTCGTCAGGTCGAGCTGAAAAGCTATGACTGTCATCTTTCTTGCTTTTCTTCTTCTTAGCCGCCGCGACCAAAGGAAGAGGTTTAGATCCTCTGCGGCCGAGACTAGGATTAAGAGAAACACGCGACGGGTTGATAAACGAATCTCGCCCGTCGATTCTGGGTCTGAGAGACACCAGAGACGACGACGCTTGCAGGAGTGACTCCATTGGAGTAAGCACAAGTGAAGTGATGGAAGAAGAATAAGAATACGAAGAAGAGAGGGTTTTAGCAGAAGAGCAAAGACAACATTTTGGGTTTTGGATAAGAAAACTTTTATAAACATTTCACTTCGACCCCTATTGTTATTTACAATTTTGCAAAGCGCCCAATAGTTTTATACAATTATACTAGACTCAAAACTAAAGAATTAAATCATGAACAAAATAATAAAAGACAATACAGCATTAGCATCAAAGACTAATCTCACTGGATTTCGACTAAACTTTGAACATAACTTAGTTGTTGTTCTCCATACTTCTACTATATACATCACACAAACACTTTTCCTCTATATTGATGAAGACATTCACACAACTTTTAATTAGTAAAACAATGAGGCTTATAATTGCGTAAATCATTATTTTTATAGATAGTAAATGTGTTACATGGTTTGGTAGAGACAGTAACAACTAGCATGTTATATTATGTAAGTGGATTTATTGTTTATGCATGTAATATATATATGAGAGTACGTATATGATATAGTGTGATATATGATTATCTAGGGGCGTGACGGGAGTTCTTGGCCGTTAAGGAAGGACCGGAAAAGAGCGAGAGCTTCTTCAGGTTTATTGAGAGGAACCAAGTGTCCTGCTCCTCTCACCGTTACGAACGTTAACCCTCCTTCGTATTCCGTTATCCTCCCTCCCACCTTCACATTAATTATACCCAACACACAAAAAAGACTTGTAACCGTAAGTACTAACACAAAGTTATTTGGTTATATATAGTATCATATTATTATATAACCCCTAATCTAATTAACCTGATGATTGTGGAACCAAGAACGCCAATTGGATTTGACGGAAAGCCCTAAAGCTTCAACACAATACCGGCTTCCGATCACTGGCACTCTCCCGTCGGCATCTCCACTGTAAGACAAATAATAAATATCTAATATTTCATCTATATGTTCAATCTTATAATTGCAAAATTTTAATAATACAGTAGTTTATTCACTTAAATATATAGCTAATTAGTCATTCAAATATTTTCTTATATATGTAACGGTCGTGATTACATTCAAAAGAGACATACGTACAAGATCTTGGTGGGGATGAATAATAGTTATCATAGCACCTTCGGTGGGTTAATTACCTCGTGAATCTAGTGGTACTATATATATACTTATATAATATATCTAGGAATTTTCTATAAATTTATTTTAATGTTTTTCTTCCAAAGCTACAATAATATCAAGTTATCACAAAAATGTTTTTCAAGAAGAGCTATGAAAAAAAGTCTAGATATACCTTTCCTCCAAATGTTGTTCCCATACTATTTTGTGGTGTTCTAAAATTTTGTCAAAAGTTGTGATATTTATGGAAATTAAAATAAAAGTGGTATGTGTATAAGTATGATCACATAAAATAGGTATGTTAAATGTAAATTAACTATCTCGTTCATTCAAGAATCTCGTGCATATGTCTATCTTTCAGCAAGAATTTGTTATTGGTGACTAGTTTCTATTAGCATCGGAACGTACAGTATCTTCCCATATAATCTGTGTTTTCATTTACAAAATAATAAATTCAGCTGGGAAAAGTTCATTGACCATCAATCAGAGAGATATTGGCATTGTAATATACAAGATAAAAGTGTAGAGTACCTATAAACCCATATCTTGAGGCCAGCTTTGATGAGCTTACTGTATGTAGGCAACATTGAGGAGACTGTAAAATGGTACGTTTGCAATATTGCATCACTGTTTTTCATTAAAAAAAGAAGTAGAACTTAACATTTCAGGCTTTAATTTTAATATTTTATCATTTAATTAGGAAATATTCAGATTCATTCTACATAAAACTTACTTGCAAACTCTCCATCTCGCTACATTTCGTGTAGTGGCATGAAGAGACGATCGAACATCGACCCTATTGAAATATTCTTCAGCGTAATTAGAGTAACAAGGGTCGTATCCTTCAAACCATCTCACTCTCTTGAACCAATCTTTGACCGCAGGAGACTTATAATTAGCTCCCGAACTTAAGTAAGAAGCTCCTGATGAGCTATTAGCTACGCACTTGGGAGCATATATGTTATATATATCAATCTCTTTGTATTTTGTGAACACTGTGTTCATGGCAACGTTGCAGGGTTCTGACCAATTCGAAGACTTGAAGTCGCAGTTACGTTTTGCAGAGTCGTAGAGACTGTCGGAGATCACTGCATGGCTCCATGCATATTCTAAAATCCCTTTGTTATCATACTCATCGTCCGTCAGTGGGTTTCCCACCTATATTGAAAATTTTTATTATATTGAAAGAAAATCATAATTGAACTTTATAAACTATCAGAAAAAGAAAAAAAAAATTAACATTGAGATTTTGCTTTCCCTTTTTTCATTTTCTTTTATACAAAGAATCTGAAAAAAAAAGTTCTGATTAGAATTTTGTTCTCAAGAAGAAGACATCGGTATGGATCGCACTGGATTTACGTTACACTTTAAGAATGCACGTATAGTCAATATTCATATGCATGTAAGTATATCTATATGATTGCTACGCAATGAACAATTTAATGTCTATTTATATACGACACTAATAATAGTATAATACGTACGATGAAGCCTTTGAGATTAATGAAGGAGTCCTTTGGCTTAACTTTGTTCTGATCGTATATAAGCTCGGCTAGCTGAGGTGCGTAGTGACCTGTAAAGTGTAGACTCATACCCATATCATATTCTACAACTTACAAAATTATTATATAAACAAAATAAAAAACCCATTTATTTCCATGCTTCATTTTATACTTCTATTAGACTATTACAAAAAAAAGTTATAATGAAAAGTGGACAAAATTGAGGGAAAAAATAAATACAGTATGTCATAATTAATTAAGCTCACCGGCATAGCTTTCACCAGCTATGATGAAATCACGAGACTTATACTGTGGATACCTTGCAAACCAAGCAAGCATGAAGTTGTATGCATCTTCCGCTGTTACAAAACATCTCAAATTAATTTCTTACAATTTAGTTTCGATTAGTTCCCTTAGTCAGTACTAGAGTATAAGTGTATAATCTAAGTTCTATATATTAGTTTATATTTAAACAATAATTTGTTTTATGAGTAAACCGGACCACCTTCTTGTGGACATTTACTTACTTACCAACGAAAGCGTCGTTGAGATTGTCCAAATCAGAAGATGAGTTCGTGTACGAAAACCCTACTCCAACCGGTGATTCTAAAAACAACATATTCGCTTCTGAAAATTTGTCAAAAAAAAAAAAAAATTTGTCTGTGAATGTAAATACAAAACCAGCTTAATTCTTGGTTGTTAAGCGGTCACATTCACATATTTATAACTAGAACTAGATCAAACCTTGGACCCAAGAATATTGATTGAAGCTAAGGCTTGTCCCATTTTGAGCAACACGAAAAGGTCCTAATTCAGATGCTGCTCCATATCCAATAGATGAACAACCAGGACCTGCACCAGGATCATTAATAAAAATTGGTCAAAAAAACTTAAGAATCAAATATAAATAAGTGATTCAATTACCTCCATTAAGCCAGAGAACTAGAGGTCTGGATGAAGGAGATTCAGACAAGGCTTCGAAGAACCAATAAAAGAGTGAACGTGTATTTTCTTGATTGACGTTGACATAACCTGAGAAGTGAGAGACCTTCGGATCCAATGGTTGTTCAGGAAGGTTCACTACTTTGTCTAAATTTTGGGCTTGAATGTGGTAAGCTTGATGACGTAATGATAGTAATAACAATAATGAGATGATTAGAAGAATATTTTGTATTTTCATTGGAAGAGACAAATTCATCTGAGGATTTTTTTTTTTTGTATGTCTTGGTATTTTGCATTTGTCTAGCGTACGTAATGTGTATATAAAGTAGTGAATGTATTGGGGATGTTAAGATGGTCGATTGTGGAATGTAGAGTATGTGGCCACAAATATTAATGATAAATATTTACAATTCTTAATTTTATTTTTTTCAAGATCGTAATGGATGGAAGCTGAATGTACACTTCTGAGTTGTGACCAATTCGTTTGATAACTTATTATAGACGAATAGTTTTAGTTGAGTGGTATCACTATAGTTTGGAGACTAAAACTAATTCGAAAGTTAAACCATGATTTTAAAAAGTACGATTGATATTATAAAATCTGTTCCTTAATATTACAAAGACTTAAACAGGCTTAATACTTATTTCGAAGTTGGTTTCTCTAGAAGGTTTGAGATGGCCATGATGTACATGCCAAGTGTTAGACTCCACTGAAATAACCATGTGATTTGCCTTAACTCACACTACCTAGCTAAGAAGCAAAGTCAACAATGAGATTCCCCATTTACAACTAAGTTCCTATTAGCTTATTAGACCATCTCCAATGGTTAGAACCATGGGAGGGTGCTTATTCATTTTTTTGCATTAATTTTTTAAAAATAAATTTATAAGTAGCCCTTAGTCTTTGCTTAAAGAGTTAATTTAGACAACAAAGCTTATGAAAAGTGCTTGATTTGCATTAAATATAATGCAATAAATATAGGCAATGTCTTAAGTTTCCCATTAAGCAATGCCAATGGAGTTGCTCTTAACATCTTGTTCATAATGCATATTGATGGGGACAAATAGAAACCTAAAAGGTATATTCACCCTGAAAACCTAAAATGTCCGGTAATGAGAATCGGAGTAAGAATTAAATGGGCCGAGAATAGGCCTTCGTTAACGTAAAAACAAAGTTAATGATATCAAAACGTTATACATTAAACGGGCTGAGAATGGGCAACTATAGTTTTACAGTTTACTCATAAAGTTTTGTAGATTACACAACAAAGGACATATGCAAACGAAAAAGAAAGTACCACTAAGTTAAAACAATGAATATTCAATACCAGGGCATCTCTCGGAAATTGAAATCAAAGCTTTTTCACAGTTTTTGAACTAGCAAGTGAAACCAAACTATACTTATATATGTTATGGGACCAAAACTTAATAAAAATGTTAGGCATAAAACGAAAGATCTCTGAAACATAGTACGTTAGAGAAGGGACACAACACACAAGAGAGACGGACGGATTGATATGGGCTTAAATATGGAATAATTGAAAGAAAAAAAAAAAAGCATAAGTAAGTACTGTGTATTATTCTTTTTACTCGTCATTATTGTAGGGGACCCTTTTTTGAGAAATTTAGAGGGGTGTATTCAAATCACTCGTCATGATTTAAGTGGGGTTTTAAGATATTTTGGTGGATTTGTTATAATTTTCCATTTTAAAAAAGAAAAAATAGTTTGAGATTTGATGAGATTTGGTGAGATTTGAAAAATTTTTTTTGGGGATTTTAAAAGAGATTCTCATGTTAAAAATAAAAGTCTCGTATACATACTCAAATCAAAGTCTTCGACGATATTATTATAACTCCGGGTTGCTATTTTCTTCTTCTGTTACTTTTGCTACAGACCTCGGATTTGAGCTACCAATGGTGTTCTGAAAACTTGAGATCGAGATCTTTCCAATGATATAAAGATCTTTGTCTGAGTCCATGTGGTTTTATGGGACATTGTCCTCAAATTTGGCTATTCCCAGGTTGCATCATTTCGGATCTGTTCTGTAAAAGTGGCGATAACTTTCAAACCGAAAATCCGAATCGTGATCTGCTTTTTTCCCTGTCTTCGTATGACTGTTGTTGATATTCCCACTAAATTTCATAATTTTCTGGGTTGTTTTGCTACACTGTTTATGCTCTGCTTCAAGACTGCATCAAGACAGATGATAAAAAACTTTAGTATATATCAATGGAGTCCCTGCAAACTTCAGTGGAATGAAGCTTATGAAATGTCAAGAAGAAGAATGTGTCACTTTTAAGTGTCAAATCATAGAATGTGTGAAGCCTTCATTTGGTAAGAGAATCATGTGGCTGGCGGAGTTAGGCTTTCCTCATCAAAATAATATTGTGGTTCCATCATAAAATAGCTTGTTTGTTGAAACGACAACTTGTTACAACAGAAGTCTCGAGAACGTCATTGGGTTAGTTGGTCTTGTGTCGAGAGCATGTGTTCGACGTTACAAGATTCTAACCAGTCACCAATCTTCAACACACTACAAATTTTTGGGAATTCTGGGAATTTGGGAAATTGTTGTGAAAGGCTCAGTTTGTAGTTTGGTCTTGTGTCGAGAGCATGTGTTTGACTTGAGAGTTCTGGGAATTTTAATCCATGACTTGAGAAAAGAGAAGAGGAAGGGTTTGAGGCACCTTCAACAAAAGAGATGAATACCGTGATTTTTTTTGTATGTGATCTCTTGTTTTTTTGTTTAAATCAATCCTTCAAAATCACACCTTCTAAGGTGTGACTTTTTAACTGGATTTCTCTTATAAAAATGTATTCAAAGTCTCCCAAAAACACTTTTATTGTTTTTTCAAAAAAAAAAGTTATGTTTTGAATAACGGTGGATTTGTTATGAGTTTTACAAATTGTTGATTGAATAACACGGATTGTGAGTGACTTTGAATGATTTTTTACAAATGTCATATTCAATAACACTGGATTTAAAAATACCAAGTTGAATAACAGAGGATTTTAAAACAAAACCAAAATCCTCTAGAATTCTATTTTCAATACACCCCCCTTAGAGCACTTGTCATATTTTTGTTTTTATCAAAAAGAGTTATATATATATATATATATATATTAAATTAGTACTTAACGGTAAGGGAAAAAAAAAGAACACCAATGTGTATGCTAATAATAATAACACGAAAGATTGATTAATAATATAAGGAAAAGATGATTTTTTTTTGGCGTTTTATATCAATCAATTTAATAATGTGTGTGTTAGTATAGTTTTGCATTATTTTGACCATTTTGATGTCTTAGGAGACTGTGATTCTCCCGCACGCCCACAAAGTTTCTATTCCCCACAAATCTGAGACTTTTTTTGATTACTTCAATTTTCACAAATACCTCTTTCTTCTTCTTAATAAAGAGAGATTCGATCTACTTCAGCTTACTTCATTTTAAAGAAAACTAATAAGCTAATATAAAATTTTGATTTTAGGAAGATTATCATTTGCGAAAATCTGGAACTAAAGGACGTAAGTCATTTCTACGAAGGAGTAACTACTACTACTGATGTACATGAGAAAATTAGTAGGCAATAGTGAATGTAACATGATTTATTTTGAAATTCGAACTTTCATATATTTTTTTTTCATGCCCTAGAATTGAGGAATTCCATTTACCAAGATTCTCTTAATTTGCTGAAACTCAGTCTCTACACCAATTAGTGTATTATTATGTTTTAGCTACGATACCTACTCCAGCTAGATTTTAATATATAGTATTTATAAAGTAGGGAAAACAAAACGTTCAGTTATAACCAGTAATTAGCAATCAAAGTAAGTCATAGTGAGTTCTACGAAAATATGCATTCAACGTGAGAAAACCCCAAAACTGTTGACAAAAAAAAACAGAGTTTCGAGTTTTATAATATTTGACATGTTGACTTTGGTTTCGCTTACGACCAACGAAACTGCTAAACACTCAGGAAGAAGAGGACCACCACCTCCGGGCAGAACGGTCACGTTGCTCGGGCAGATTGGTCTACTGCCATATCGTAAATGTGGCGTCATCAAGGACACATATAAAGCTCGTTCTCGGGCAACGCCGACGTCATGATCCCTCCAAAGGTTTAATTGGGCCCCGGCCCACGAAGGTTATCATCTATATTTTTTATTATTATTTACTTTGCCTTAAAATCTCTCCTTCACTTGATAGGCTTCTTCATCATCATCCCACCGTTTCTCAAGGCTCTCTCTCTCTCTCTCTCTCTCTCTCTCTCTCTCTCTCTCTCTCTCTGTTTCTGTGTTTATATCTTCTCACTCAAAATGGAAGAGAGAGAAGAGCTCTCATGGATGAAAAGATCAAGGCCGAGTTTTCTTCAAGGTGATTTGTCTACATATATATATATATGTAATGAGAAGAGTTAGGGTTTTGTCAGTTCCAAGTCAAATTTTCTCTGTTCATCAATGATATATGTATGATGTAGAACACGTAAGTAAGATATGTTACTGAACAGTCTGAACTATATATAATACATGATATGTGTGTGTCTTTATCTATATCTCTGTATATGTAAGTGTAGGTATATATATACATACATAGATACTATTAATGTGTACATGCATATACCAACATTGATATATTTGTATCTACACACTTTTCCTACTTTTGACTTACGAAGATGGATGCTCTTAGATATGAACAAACGTCTGTTCGCATGCAACAATTATATATTTGGAAACACATATATATATATATATATATATATATACACGATTATTGTTGTGAAGCGTAACATGTTTCTTTTCTTGTGTTTGTGCTTGTGCAGGCAGTAAGAGAAATATAACCCCTGTGAAACAAAGAGATTTTTGGATCGGTTATGCTGAGAAATTGAGTTTTTCTTCTCAACTCCATTTTCATTGATAAACTGGTGTTATCCTATCTGAGCTTTTAGTCCTTCCATTTTTTTTTTTAATTTTCAGGTTTCATTCTATGATGCATTGCATTATTCTCTTTTCTTGACCTTGTAAGGCCTTTTCTTGACCTTGTAAGACCCCGTCTCTTTCTAAACATGTCAGTATTTTCTCATTTTACAGATTCTATTCTATCTTTTCTCGATATAAAATAGAAATCTATCTCTACCTCTAATTCGTTCGAGTCATCTTCTCCTACCTTGTCTATCCCTCCTGAGCTAATCTTTAAATCTTTTTGTTTGTCATTTGATGTATTAGTTGATATCAATTCAATAAAGAAGTTGAACGTTTCTTCTTATATAATCTTTTTTGTTCATTTTGGTTAAATTATTGTAGTAACAAATATTAAAGGAGGTGAAAAAAGTCTCACTATCAAGGGGGACTGGCAAAAGGGCAATGAATAAGGAAACGGGCAAAAAGAATTATGCCTTTACTCTCTCTCTCTCTCTTTTAAGGCTTTGGACAGGAATTTACTTTTGTTTTATGTGTTGTGTTTGTTTGGGTCTGACTGAGTGACTGACCCCAAAGGGCAAAGGCCACAAAGCCAAAACCAGAGAACTCTCTTATTAAATATTCCTTCAGAATCATTTATTGCCTCTTTCTCGTTCTACGCTCGTGACTGTTTCTCACCTTCTGTCCTGTAGTATTTTTACCAATCCTCAACTCTTCAAGAAGTAGTATAATTTGGTCTGATTGTAGTACTTATACCGTTTGTATAACAAAAAAAGGGATAAGGATAAGTTAATGTTAATAGGGTTGTTCATAAGGATGTGGTCAACAAATTAAAAAAAAATGTTTGTATATATAGAAACCAGTATGTTTCCAAGCACGAGGAACAACTTGTTTTTCCTATTAGGTGTTCGTATAATGCATTTTTTTCACTAGTTAATCTTATCAATAATAATTAAATAAGTCAATGGTGTTTTTTTCAATTTATCTAAAAGACTATGATAGAGTTTGAATTCGTATCCATCCGATACAAACACACTAGCTTTTTTGGTCGAAGATATGAGGCCAAAAACAAATCCATATAAAACCTTTTTGACGTGAAAAGAAGACTTTGTTCTGAACTTTAAATTCTTTTAACAAGCAAAAAAACTTCAGGCATAATTATTAGTTTGATCTTCAGAAGACTCAAATAGAGGAGAAAGGGGTAAGTTTTAGTAAAGAAGAGAGTAAAAGCTGAGCCACCCTTTTGTGTTATATACGAGAATAAATGTTGCTATTTCTTTTTTCTTTTCTCTTTTGTTTTTCTCTTCTCGTTTTCGCCATTCCTCTCTTTTTCTTGTTTCATATCGCCATTCCTCATAAATACATATCATGTGAGGACTTATGATCAGTCTCATATATCATAATTGTACATTTCTACCTCATTTTCAAGTAACATAATATACAGTTGATTTGTTGATAGCTTTCATTTCAAATCAACCATCTTGTATGCTCAGTAGAGATGTACGTATTGATTCATATGCGATTTGAGATATCAGGCACTCCGCAATATGTAATAATATACATAATATTGGTTTATCTTCAAATTAAAAAAATGTTGATAATTTTCTTTTGATTAAATGTAAAGAAGTTCATTTTGTTGACAATTTGATCACGATGATATATACTATGTGGTTTTACTAAAACAATGGAGAACGTTTCTACTTAGAGAAAAACAGTTTATTTTTAACAGTTTTTATATGATAGAGGTTTATATAGCAACAAGGACATTTAGATAAGTGTCACATGATGGCTGCATTTGCCTAACCTATTTATTCATGTTTTTTTTTTATATATTTGGCCGGTCATTAGAGGTTATTAGGGTTAGGGAAACATATATTTTGTCAAGTTATATTTCAATTATGTCTATCTAGTAGTAAGCTACTTTTCACATATTTCTTGTAGTATTTTCTCAAAGTAATGACTATTGAGTATTTCAGTTTACAAACAATCTAGCTATGTTCTGGTATTGACTATACTGAGTAAACAACTACTGATAAAAATTACCTTCATCAGCTAAAATTAATTGGCATCTATATTTTGTCAGCGGCCACTTTAAGTATGGTGGTAGTGGGAGGACGGTGGAGAAGATTAATTATACGAAAAGTCTTTGGTCAAAATCAATTCCCAATATCAATGCCATTTTTTTGGTTTAATCATTGCCATCTTCGACTTTTAAAGACAATTTCAATGTACAACAAAGAATTGTATTATTATGTCCAATAATTTAAAGAGACTTTACAGATAAATAGTTTTCGGAATTTTAAACATTTTTTTTTTGTTGTGATATTATAATAGTAGTATATTCATATTCATATAATGTTTATGGTGGTGGTACGTTCTAGCACGAAATGATTGTGTCTGCAAGTGGACGATTGAAATAAAAGAAGAAACTCAAAAGAGGGTTTGTTTGCAACACATATACATACATATTCTGATCACCTCCTTTATTATTCTTAACGGTACCAAACATTGCATTTAACAAGTCTTGGATTTTTATGCAGACATAGAATGATTTCTTTTTTGGAATTTTAATTTGGGTGCAAGACTGTAAAATACCTACCCCTTTTAAAATCTACTACGTACTATATTTCCTTTTGTGTTGATCCTCGCCCAAAACCCTAATTTTTACATATATACCATACCCTGGTTCTAATTTTAGTCATATATCGATGTGTTTTACATGCAGACATCGATTACAGGGCATATCCGCAAGCATATGTGTTTGTTTCTTGAATTTTAAAAGCATTTGTTCTAATTAATCACTGATGATCAATATAATGTACCACAGATATGGATATATTATACATACATACAAATTTGTAAGTGCAAGTGATATTATACATGAAACGTGTATACAAATGGAAGGGACATGAAGAAGAAGGATGGGACAAGATGTTCAAACTTTATACTAAGAATGGGTAACATTTTAACATGGCTTACTCGTCAGCTCTCTCTTCTTCTTTTTTTTTTTTTTTTCTCCACTATTTTTGGCTTTACTGTTGTTTTTTTCCCTTACCCAATTTTCATGTGATTCCCACTTTGTTTGTACATAAACGTTAATGATTTGATTATAAAGATCTAAGATTAAGTTGATTGTGGTGCTTTTAACATTTTTTATAATAATTCTAATCATATCATGTATGATTCTTGGTTAGATTTTTTTATTTTTTAAAAATATGGTTTCCCATCTTCACCGTGTCTAACGTGAACAAGCGTGTCCATGCTTATATGAATCATTAAACAAACCCAGCCCTCAAAACGGGTTAACTTCTTTTGGGCTATTTGGTTATACGTTCATCTTTTTGATTAAAATGTGCCGTCTCGGCCCGTTTTATCAAACCTCAAAAGTATCAGTGACCCAAATCTGGTACTGCCCATTATTGGCCAGTATCAAACCGAGCTAAGGCCTGGTCTCGTACTCACTTTAATTGTTTTCACTTTTCAGTATGTATTACATACATTGTGAAATCCCTTGTTCAATTCAAGTATTCCTACTTGTGCCAAAAAAAAAAAAAGTCGTCTATTTCTTAGTGTTATAACCGTACAGTTAGAAGTAGAAAATTAAAAAACTTGTTTTATAGGCTCCTTAAGTCCAGGAGAATATTTGACTAATTTGATACTGTCTATATGAAAACTTTCTATAGATAAAAACTTTGAAAGGTACATAATTATTTTCAGATTGTTGCCTGTAGATCACCCCAATATGGCTCAATCACCTTTATGTTGGAGACTGATATTAATTGGAAATGTTTGATGAGAATTGAAAGTTAGGCCGCCCAACATCCAATCAAATTGGTGAGCAGAAAAAAAGAAAAATAACATCCAATCATATAATTCACTCATACATACTGAGAGAAGTAAAGTATATGTAGTTACATATGAAACATTATTTGTCTGAATTATAAGATAAGAAAACCCAATAAAATATAGATAATAAACAATTGTTTGTTCCTAACACAGAGCTTGCAAAGAGGCATTTTAAATTAGGTGGGTTGTCCAAATTTTTTTAAGAAAACAATTAGGTGGTTTGTGTCAGTGATGGAGCTTCGATTATGTTGTAGGGGCCTTCTCCTTCCTTCCCTTGATGGACATGTATATCTCATCAAACATTATGGATTCCAAATTACACATATATATATGCGCTACATTTGAATATGGTTTCGCTTTATGTCTTTTTTGTAAGCTTTTGTTTTAATGGAATAGATTTCTCTGTTATAAGAAAACGAACTTATTATAACTCTTTTTCTAATCAAGAAGATGTAATTAAATGTGTTATTTTAAGAACACCTAACTCTGGACCAATGTCTGCAGAGTTAGATTATAAAGAAGATTGGGTAGTTGGACGCGGGTATCAATATATTTGCACTTCCCCGAGCTTTGGGGTCTGATATAAATTCATGCGTTGTTATTGGTTCAGTCTCACGTTCCATTCATTCTACTAGTTTTACGTTGAAGAAATACTCAATTATTCATATCAGACGTCATATCGAACAACTCTCAATATTCTCTAGAACGAAATATATATATATATATATATATATATATATATATATATATATATGATCACACATACTAATTAATTAATACCAAGCATTCAAAATTTATTCTAAAGCATGATTCAAAACCAAAAATATTCGGATTAGTGTCTGTAAACTTTGTCTAATAACATAATAATTTGGGAAATGTAATTAATCAATGCTTGGGAAGGTTGCTTTAACGTAGCTTTCACAGAAAATATGTACTCTATGCTTAGAAACACACATGTATATATGATCTTATATACATGTCGATCGAGCTTAGATGATTAATCATCTTTGGCATTCAAAAGGGTATTCATATAGTAATAAAAACGTGAGCCCACTATATTGGTCGCATCAAATCCTCCTCTCTCTATATATACATATCTCCCGCATGTGTCTTCTCTCATCTCACTCTCTCTATCTAACACAATTTATCTCTCTAAAACTGATCGATACATCTCCTTCTGTCTCTCCAAAAATGGTGAAGGAGTCCCAGAATATCGTGGCCGTAGATCAAGACATACCCGTGATAGACATGTCCTTAGATAGGTCACGAGTGTCCATGCAGATGGTCAAAGCTTGCGAGACCATTGGCTTCTTCAAAGTGGTCAACCACGCCGTTGACCCGGACGTTATCTCCCGGATGGAGCAAGAGGCCATAAACTTCTTCGCTAAACCGGTTCTTGAGAAGAAATCGGTCGGGCCGGTGGTCAACCGCCCTTTCGGTTATGGTTTGAAGGACATTGGGCTCAAGGGTGATATTGGAGAGGTCGAGTATTTGCTCCTTCACATGAACCCTCTCGTACTTTCTCAGTTATCCTTTGGTAACGATTCTACCAAGTTCAGGTACGTTATATAATACTTGGCTAATGTATTTACAGATCTGGTAAATATGTAGAACCTTAAGATTCTATGCTAAAAAAAAAACTTGAGTTCGGTATATATATGTATCCATGTATACTATAGTAGTTATCTAATAATTACATATCAGTTAATGTAAATGCAGTTTTCAGTGTAATTTAGTGCGATAATCTTTCCATATATATATATGTATATATACGAAATTTGCATGCATGTGTATATATAC